GCACACGCGTGTGACCCTCCGCCCCACACCCCCGTCCTCGCAGGCCCCCAGGGAACCATGCAGTCATCAGCACACAGGCTCCGAGACATCGAGCACCACCCCCTGCTGACCGAGAACGACAGCTATGACTCGTCTTCGTCGTCTTCCTCGTGTGAGGCCGACCCCGCGGACAGGGTGTGGTTCATCCGGGACAGCTGTGGCATGGTCTGCACCGTCATGACCTGGCTCCTGGTCGTCTACGCCGACTTCGTGGTGACGTTTGTCATGCTGCTGCCTTCCAAAGACTTCTGGTACTCCGTCATCAACGGGGTCGTGTTCAACTGCCTGGCCGTGCTGGCCTTGTCGTCGCACCTGAGAACCATGCTCACCGACCCGGTGAGTACGTACCGCTGCCCACACGCCTGTCTGCTCTGCCAGGCACCGCCCCTGGACTGAGCTCCTGGGCCCAGTCTGGCCGCACTGTCAGTGTCGTGACCGAGAGTCACGTGGGGCTGACAGTGGCGGACACCGTGTGGCGTGGCTGTGTGCTGTCCACTGAAGGGACTGCTGGGCAGCTTCACAACGCTCAGTTACATGTCCTGTTTCTCTAAAATGGACAACTTGGGTTCCCTTTTGACCATAAGTAACCAGTTCTGCTTCTTTGGGTCAGGGCTGGACTTCACGTCTGAGGCTTCTGGCTTGTAATGCTCTGTTTTCATAATGTTAAGATCTCCAGTATTGTGACCCTGGTAGCACAGTGGTTACTCGCTTGGCTGCCAGTGCGAAGGCGGGTGTTGACTAGAACCCACCTCTGCATGAGAATGACGAGGCAGGGGCTTCGATCGGGGGCCCCGCCTTGGAAGCCCACGGGCAGCTCTGCATCGTGACCTACACGTGGCTTTGATGAAACTCAGGAACAAGGGGACAGTCGGGCGGTCTGGGTGGTCACGGTCCCGCATTACCTGAGCTGGCCTGTGATTCTCAGTGGTGGCTGTGTGTTCTCAAGTTGGAAGTCACCCATAGCTGACCCTCCAGTGGGTGTCCAGAGGCAGTAAATCGCACAGCAGACTGCGTGCCTTTGGCCTGCGGAGCAGTGGGGATTTGAACCGCCTGCCTTTGGTTTGGCCGTGCAGTCCCTACCACGAGGTATTTATGTAGTGCTGGAACTGGGCCGCTGTGCACTCAGGTAGTGGCAGTCGGGAAATGACGGCGCTTGGCATTTATGTGATGACATAGTTCTCTCTTGTTTTATACTCTGATGTGGTCAGTTTCCATTTTCACATAACATCCAAATTCACGTTGACAGCGTGGTCTTTGGAACCTGGACACAGTGATAAGTGAAGAGTGGGTTCATAGAATGTCTTCAGATTATCTCCCCGTATTGATTTCCTTTTTCCTGAACTCTCCTTGTCGCCAGCTAAACATGTCTGTCTACACCGCAGGGCGCTGTGCCCAAGGGGAACGCCACCAAGGAGTACATGGAAAGCCTGCAGCTGAAGCCGGGCGAGGTCATCTACAAGTGCCCCAAGTGCTGCTGCATCAAGCCGGAGCGCGCGCACCACTGCAGGTACTGCCCGGCCCTGCCCATGTCCAGGTGGCCGGCAGCCCGCACACCGCTGCACGTACTGCCTGGCCCGGCCTGGCCCTGCCCGTGCCCAGGTGGCTGGCAGCCCACATACCGCTGCAGGTACTGCCCTGCCCTGCCCATGTCTGCCCGTGCCCAGGTGGCCGGAGCCCTCACAGCAGCACTGACGTGCACGCCCCTCCAGCCAAGGCGAGGCCGTTACAGGCCGTGCACAGAGGGATCTGCTATCTCTAGAGGTTAACAGTACAGGCTGACTCTAAAAAGGAATTGATAGCACGTTAGCAGTTCAAAGCCTGAGGTGTGGAACATTTGGGAGGGAATGACAAATTCCGCCCTGCAGACAGCTTGAGGAATGAGTACGTGCCGGCTGGTTGCTGGCGAATCACTGAGTGGTAGAAATCCTTTGAAGGTGCCCTCTCTGAAGGCTGCTTTCCTTGTACTGCCTTTGTTTCCAATTGGCCTGGGTGTGAAGCCTGTGATGTTGGAGACTGCAGACGTGTGTGCGTGACTTGGCTCCAGCAGAGTCTGGACACTGAAAATCCTCTTCTGTGAAACCTGGCGGGACCTGCTGCCTCCCTGAGCATTTGCCTCAGAGAGCAGCAGAAGTCTGGGGATGAGTCTCGAACCTGTGCAGTCGGCCTGCACTGTGGCCGCTCGTCTGTCCACTTCTCACTCTGCACCTGGGGCGCTAACCACCACCCCCTCCTTTACAGTATTTGCAAGAGATGCATCCGGAAAATGGACCACCACTGTCCATGGGTGAACAACTGCGTGGGCGAGAAGAACCAGAGGTTTTTTGTGCTGTTCACGGTGAGTGCATGGCTGTACTGGGTCCCGGGTGTGGGCCTCCGTGTCCTCTCTGTGGCTTCTTGCCTGGATGGGCCTCTGTGTCCTCTCCGTGTCTTCTTGCCTGGAGCGGGGACATTTACTCCAACAGCAGCCTGGCCTGCGCCCGTAGCGTGCACGCTTGGACGCTGGACGCTACCTGAGTTCTTTCAGACGTGTGCTCCGGCCTGATGCTTCCTCCACCACTCAGAAGCAGCACCGTTAACAGGAGCTTCCTGCGGGATCTTCCTTCTTGCCCCACTGTGTACCTTTCTGTGGGATTATTTTCATGATCCAGTGCAGAAAAGTAGTTTTCTCACACTTTTTGAGAAATGAAATGGAGTAAAGGGTCCACACTGGCCCATTTTGGTCCTAGAAATATTCAGCTTTTGACGTCACTAACCAGTTTCCCCTCGTTACAGATGTACATAGCTCTGTCCTCGGTCCACGCTCTGATTCTCTGTGGATTTCAGTTCATTTCCTGTGTCCGAGGGCAGTGGACAGGTGAGTGTCGTGTGTGTCCCTCAGAACAAGTGCTGTCAGGTGAAAAGAGCCGAGCTTTCCAGGAAGTAGTGGTTTCTGGTTCTGAAGGAGGGTCTCCCGTCCACTCAGGAATCCTTGAATTCTTTCAGAGGAGGATTTGGCTAAGCTGTAATACTCTGAGCCGTTTGCTGGTGGAGCCAAACCGGCTGAGACCAGCCTCCTCAGCAGATAATGCCGGAAGGGCCGAGGGTCAGGGAGGAAGGAAGACCCTGGAGGAGATGGATTGACAGTGACTGGCCAAGAGGTCAGGGGTGTCAGACGGTGAGGCTGGCTCAGGACAGGACAGGGTTCAGAGCCGTTACTCAGAGGGTTGCGATGAGTTGTAGTCAGTTAGATGGTGTATAACAGCCATCCATTCCATTTTAATTCATAGGAACCATACAGGATCAAAAATTGCCCCTCAGGGCCCCTAGGCTGTAAACCCCTGTGGAGGTAGGGCGGCATACTAGCTGGTGGGTTCGAACCACCAACCTTTTGGTTAGCAGCCAAACACTTTACCACTGTACCACAGACACCTAATAGTTTCTTCTAGGGACTGTGAGTGGCCCTTGCCCATTTGAAGACCTGCGGGAGGTCAGTATTGTTCTGGCCACACCGTGTCTTTGGTGCCTGGTTGGCTCGCTGGCCCCTGCTTGGAGTAACTGCCACCTGAGGGAGCCCAGTGAGCACACCTGGTGGGTGTGCAGAGCTGTGGGATGGCCAGCCCGGCGCCTCGGGCAGGGGCGGGCGTCCGCGTGGGCCGAGACCCCGCGGTGTAGACGGGCACGGCCCTTTCCTGGTTTCCCTGCGTGTTTGCTGAGGGTGTTGGCTCCGTCAGTGGGACTCCCACATAGTGAAGAATCTTTGGGGACAGCTGACCAGGAGGCAGGTGTGTGCGGATTTCTTCCTCTGAGGTGGACAGAGGTGGCTTGGGTGCAGGGCCGTCTCTGGCCTCTGGGTTCCCTGTGGCCAGTGCCCGCCATGACCACTTTCTCTGTCCACAGAGTGCAGTGATTTCTCACCGCCCATTACTGTAACCCTGCTCATCTTCCTGTGCCTTGAAGGTCTCCTGTTCTTCACTTTCACTGCAGTTATGTTCGGCACCCAGATCCACTCCATATGCAATGACGAGACGG